GCCTCGTCGAGCCTCTCCTTGAATATCTCCAGGGATGGGGCCTCAACCACCTCCCTGGGCAACCTGTTCCAGTGCTCCACTACCCTCACAGTAAAGCACCTCACTCTTTTGGGATGGAAGCTCAAGGGTGGAAGATCACAAGCAAAAGATGAAGAGCAAGTGGCCAGCCCAGCCTAAACCATGACAGATGGCAGAAGCAGAACCTGATGATCACACGGGTGCCTTAGACTTTAGAAGATCCCTCCTGAAAGGATCCAGAAGACGTGGTGAGAAAATAGTCATTTTAGCCTTGCTTTTGGAAATATTAAGAAGCCAGAGAGATCAGAACTGGGTGGGCTTGCAGAGCTGGTCAAGGAAGTAGCCAGAAAAATCAGTGTCTTGATTCCTTGTGATAGATCACATCATGTAATAGAGGTCTCATACCTTTTGGTTTATGGCCATTGATGGGTTTATCTGTGCCACACAGCGTTTGAGCTCAGGAAAATTACATTATGTTTAAGTAAGAGAAGAAATAGCAGAAGCTGGACAAACCGGTGAGATTTGGGCGAGTCTGTTCATTGGTGTTTGGAGATGGGCACAGAGCAAAGGGTTGATTATTATACATTATTTATCCAAATACTCCACGGAGTAGGGTTACTATTTGGAAGTTTCCCTTGTACACAACCAAATGGAAATGGTTTGGAGAGGCTCATTTTAACACTTTACAAAGGAACTGATTTTTCCCCTTTGGAAAAAAAAAAGTTCAGGGTATGGGGCTTCTACTGTTTGGAACATGTTCTTTAGAAGAATAAAAGCAAAATGGTTTAACGCTATTATGGTACTAATTTGTTCCCTTTCTACTTCTGCAGCCTTGAGCCGACATCTTGTTCAATCAGATAAGGAAACATATCTGGGTCATGAAACTCATCAAAAACATTTGGTTTACGGTGCCAACCTTTACCTTTACAGCAGCTGTTGTGAATTCAGAGGAGGTTTGAAATCCCACAAACACCGGCTTTCAAGTAGTGGTTTCAAATCCAAGAACAATTCCCCGACTGATTCATCAAACCAGGTATTGGGACACCTGAGTTTTATGCCTTTAGGCAAATTATAGCCTAATTTTCAGGTCTGATGCGTTTCTTTTAACTCCCATTTATTTCAAGTGGAGTTTCAAAAGCAGCTCAGCACCTTCGAAACTTGTTTTTAAACCGTTCTGGGAATATCTTCCTTACAGATACATTGGAAAGCTGTTCTAATGTTTGTAAAATACATTTTGAAGTGCTTAGCAAGAAATGTTACAGAAAAGCAGTCATTACTAACGAGTGTCTCATGGAAACAGTCCTGGTTTTTCTCATGGCAGGGCAGTACAGCTCGAATTACCTTAAAAATAAAATCTCACAGGAATTAAACCTTACAGTTCTGTAGACGGGGCAGAGCAACAGACAGAAGGCATGTGATGGGTTCCCAGGGATCATAGAATCATAGAATCATAGAATTGCCCAGGGAAGGGACCTCCAAAGGTCATCTAGTCCGACCTCCCCGCAGTCAGCAGGGACACCCCCAACTAGACCAGGTTGCCCAGGGCCTCGTCGAGCCTCTCCTTGAATATCTCCAGGGATGGGGCCTCAACCACCTCCCTGGGCAACCTGTTCCAGTGCTCCACTACCCTCACAGTAAAGCACCTCACTCTTTTGGGATGGAAGCTCAAGGGTGGAAGATCACAAGCAAAAGATGAAGAGCAAGTGGCCAGCCCAGCCTAAACCATGACAGATGGCAGAAGCAGAACCTGATGATCACACGGGTGCCTTAGACTTTAGAAGATCCCTCCTGAAAGGATCCAGAAGACGTGGTGAGAAAATAGTCATTTTAGCCTTGCTTTTGGAAATATTAAGAAGCCAGACAGATCAGAACTGGGTGGGCTTGCAGAGCTGGTCAAGGAAGTAGCCAGAAAAATCAGTGTCTTGATTCCTTGTGGTAGATCACATTGTGTAATAGAGGTCTCACACCTTTTGGTTTACAGGCATTGATGGGTTTATCTGTGCCACACAGCATTGAATTCAGGAAAATTACATTATGTCTAAGTAAGAGAAGAAATAGCAGAAGCTGGACATAGATCACATCATGTAATAGAGGTCTCATACCTTTTGGTTTATGGCCATTGATGGGTTTATCTGTGCCACACAGCGTTTGAGCTCAGGAAAATTACATTATGTTTAAGTAAGAGAAGAAATAGCAGAAGCTGGACGGTCAAGGAAGTAGCCAGAAAAATCAGTGTCTTGATTCCTTGTGGTAGATCACATTGTGTAATAGAGGTCTCACACCTTTTGGTTTACAGGCATTGATGGGTTTATCTGTGCCACACAGCATTGAATTCAGGAAAATTACATTATGTCTAAGTAAGAGAAGAAATAGCAGAAGCTGGACAGACCAGTGAGATCTGGGTGAGTCTGTTCATTGGTGTTTGGAGATGGGCACAGAGCAAAGGGCTGATTATAATACATTATTTATTTAGAAACTTAAGATCTATTAAAGGACAGTGAGGCTAAAAGCTTACCAATAAATGTGTCAAATGCAGTGGTTAGAAAAAAAATCCATCAAATCCATGGATAAAGAGAAGTTAATAAAAGTGATCAGCACTCAGCAGACCAGTACCTACTGGTTTCCTAATGAAGGTGATCTTGAATCGAACCAGCAGTTCTGTAGATGGGGCAGAGTGACAGACAGAAGGCACGTGATGGGTTCCCAGGGATCTGTCACCTCATTTTTTTGGGATGGAAGCCTTGCTTTTGGGAATATTAAGAAGCCAGAGAGATCAGAACTGGGTGGGCTTGCAGAGCTGGTCAAGGAAGTAGCCAGAAAAATCAGTGTCTTGATTCCTTGTGATAGATCACATCATGTAATAGAGGTCTCATACCTTTTGGTTTATGGCCATTGATGGGTTTATCTGTGCCACACAGCGTTTGAGCTCAGGAAAATTACATTATGTTTAAGTAAGAGAAGAAATAGCAGAAGCTGGACAAACCGGTGAGATTTGGGCGAGTCTGTTCATTGGTGTTTGGAGATGGGCACAGAGCAAAGGGTTGATTATTATACATTATTTATTTAGAAACTTAAGATCTATTAAAGGACAGTGAGGCTAAAAGCTTACCAATAAATGTGTCAAATGCAGTGGTTAGAAAAAAAATCCATCAAATCCATGGATAAAGAGAAGTTAATAAAAGTGATCAGCACTCAGCAGACCAGTACCTACTGGTTTCCTAATGAAGGTGATCTTGAATCGAACCAGATTTTACTGGAAACCTCAAGAATATTACAAATGTCACTTCATGCTACATTAATTAGACCAAATTCATTTGTAAAACTGTTCAACCAAGGGTGAGCACATGCACCCGACTGGTGAATTAAGCAAAAGGATGGAGCAAAAGTAGAACTGCTCTTTTTGACTTCTGCTACCTTTTTCTGCATGAGAACTGCAGCTGATTTTTGCATCCTCCCGTTGCAAGCTTTTCCAGCCCGCTCTGCAGGATTTGCTTGACAAGAGGAAAACATAATTCTAAATCCCACTGCATTATTATTATTTTTTTTCTTCCAGTTTTCTATCCTTGCTGATTTGCAAAGTCTCAGTTGACTGAGTTATGAGCTGTTTGCCCAACAGGACCTTTGTTCTGGTCTGTGCTTCAGCAAAAACTGGAAAAACCTGTTCGATTGCTCCCTTTTTTTTTGTTTTGGTCTTCCTCTCCCATTGGCAGCAGCAGCCTGTACACATGCAGACAAGGTGGTGCCTGCCTTTCCTGTGGAAAGCTGCCTTACAAAAACTGAGGTGGCTTTTTCCATTCTCCCAGAGCTTTTCTAGCCTCATGAAGGCTTTGGTGGCCACTCCAGGAGTTAAACTCGTCTCGTTCTCCGCAAAATGAGTGTTGGACATAATTTTATTTTTTCTTCAAGCAAAGGGAGGATGTTTGAACGTGGCTCCGGTCCAGCCTTTTAAATAACATTTTGTAGACTCGGGGAGATCTGCAGAAACCAGCCTTGTTGTGCAATGTAGCTTTTTTGGAGAGAGAAGCTTGTCTGCTTTACAGCAGCTGTACGAGGTGTAGCGTTAACATCTGTAAGACAGGACAAACACTGAAGCAGCAAGTTAGTGTAAAAACGTGGACAAGTTGAGAAGAAACTTTTCTTTCCATCTCCCTTCCTTCTCCTCGTGCTTCGTGCTGCTGTTGGCAGGAGAATGGGTCAACTGTGTAGCCGATGCATGCAGCTGCTGCGGGACTTCGTGGCCTTTGTCCAGAGGATGTCCTCCAACTTGGTGCACCTTATCAAGGAATGCTTGATCCTGATAAGCAAATGCTCCTGCCTAAAACAAAACAGCTCCAAAGCCAGACAGAGAAGCTGGACAGACCAGTGAGATCTGGGTGAGTCTGTTCATTGGTGTTTGGAGATGGGCACAGAGCAAAGGGCTGATTATAATACATTATTTATTTAGAAACTTAAGATCTATTAAAGGACAGTGAGGCTAAAAGCTTACCAATAAATGTGTCAAATGCAGTGGTTAGAAAAAAAATCCATCAAATCCATGGATAAAGAGAAGTTAATAAAAGTGATCAGCACTCAGCAGACCAGTACCTACTGGTTTCCTAATGAAGGTGATCTTGAATCGAACCAGATTTTACTGGAAACCTCAAGAATATTACAAATGTCACTTCATGCTACATTAATTAGACCAAATTCATTTGTAAAACTGTTCAACCAAGGGTGAGCACATGCACCCGACTGGTGAATTAAGCAAAAGGATGGAGCAAAAGTAGAACTGCTCTTTTTGACTTCTGCTACCTTTTTCTGCATGAGAACTGCAGCTGATTTTTGCATCCTCCCGTTGCAAGCTTTTCCAGCCCGCTCTGCAGGATTTGCTTGACAAGAGGAAAACATAATTCTAAATCCCACTGCATTATTATTATTTTTTTTCTTCCAGTTTTCTATCCTTGCTGATTTGCAAAGTCTCAGTTGACTGAGTTATGAGCTGTTTGCCCAACAGGACCTTTGTTCTGGTCTGTGCTTCAGCAAAAACTGGAAAAACCTGTTCGATTGCTCCCTTTTTTTTTGTTTTGGTCTTCCTCTCCCATTGGCAGCAGCAGCCTGTACACATGCAGACAAGGTGGTGCCTGCCTTTCCTGTGGAAAGCTGCCTTACAAAAACTGAGGTGGCTTTTTCCATTCTCCCAGAGCTTTTCTAGCCTCATGAAGGCTTTGGTGGCCACTCCAGGAGTTAAACTCGTCTCGTTCTCCGCAAAATGAGTGTTGGACATAATTTTATTTTTTCTTCAAGCAAAGGGAGGATGTTTGAACGTGGCTCCGGTCCAGCCTTTTAAATAACATTTTGTAGACTCGGGGAGATCTGCAGAAACCAGCCTTGTTGTGCAATGTAGCTTTTTTGGAGAGAGAAGCTTGTCTGCTTTACAGCAGCTGTACGAGGTGTAGCGTTAACATCTGTAAGACAGGACAAACACTGAAGCAGCAAGTTAGTGTAAAAACGTGGACAAGTTGAGAAGAAACTTTTCTTTCCATCTCCCTTCCTTCTCCTCGTGCTTCGTGCTGCTGTTGGCAGGAGAATGGGTCAACTGTGTAGCCGATGCATGCAGCTGCTGCGGGACTTCGTGGCCTTTGTCCAGAGGATGTCCTCCAACTTGGTGCACCTTATCAAGGAATGCTTGATCCTGATAAGCAAATGCTCCTGCCTAAAACAAAACAGCTCCAAAGCCAGACAGCTGTACAAACCCATCCTGCAGCCTCATGAGAGGGTGACAGCGCAGGAGTTTCTGCAGCATATTGAAGCAGGTGAGAAGGCTTGGGGTTTTTTTTCTAAAGGGTTGTGGAAGATCAAGGAGATGATTGGTTTTGTGGGGTGAAAACAGATTGCTGGCTGAGCTGCTCTGGCATGGCATGGAGCAGCTGGGTGAGGTAGAAAAGGCCAGAGCTTCAGAGCTTTGTGTACAGGACACCATACATGGGACATTCTTTGTGTACGGGGACACCAAGGGCTGGAGTGTTGTAACAGTTGGATCTATGTAGAAATTATGTCACTTTCTTGCTCTGCCACCACTGTTAATACATGACCCATCTAAATAAGTTTCATAAAAGTGAGTCCTTCTAGTAACTGAGGTTAATTTTTTGAAGTCAGTCCTTGAGGTGACAAAGCTGGAAACAGGCTGTACCGACACTGGGTGCTACGTGAGTGCCTGGGACAAGCACTGTTGGGCTCCCAGGACTTCTTCAGATGCTAAGCAACTGGTCTGCTTAATTATTTTTGTGCAAATGTTCAGACACAAGGCTTGAACAAAATCCTGGGGTTCTGCTTGAATCTAAATAGATCCATAACTCTTCATGGATCTCCTCTGGGCACTGTTGGGCTCCCAGATTTCTTCAGGTGCTAAGCAACTGGTCTGCCTAATTTTTTTTGTGCAAACTTTTAGACACAAAGCTTGAACAGAATCCTGGGGTTCTGCTTGAATCTAAGTAGATCCATAACTCTTCATGGATCTCCTCTGCTTTACAGGCTACTTTGCTTATTTATCTATTTGTGATGTCCTCTCTATCCAGTCCTAGGATACAATAGTATCAATAGGAAAACTCTTTAGTTTATTTTACTCCTGCAATCACAAAATATCTTCTTGGATGAGTGTGTTTTGTCAGTTGTCCAACCCAAAAACGTTTGTCTCAACCTTGGGCTAAAGCTACTACCCAAAATTGCGTAGCCGTCTACTTTGATTTGTGCAAAGGGTGTGGAACACAAACGACTATTTCTTTACTTACCTTTTTAGGGACATAAAACCATCTTATCAGGGAGGCCAGGAGAGACTTTTTTCCTTGGCATGCCACAGTTAACACTGTTTGAAATGGTCTGTCATGGAACAACTTGTGGAATAATTGCTGTGACGCTGGTTGTTGGGAACATGCGTGAATTGAGCCTCAGCTGATATTAGTTGGTGTCATTACCCTACGCATGCGGGGGGTCCTGTGCTGCTGATTGGGTTCACTAATTGTTGCACGTTAAGCACTGGCTAAATTCTGAAGTCCATATCTAGAATAGGACCAGACCTTTCAGCTTGACTTATAGTGGGGATCTTCCAGGGTTGAACTTCTTCTTCCAGAGGCCATCACACTCCTGACTTCATAAGAGAGTGTCTTGGGAGTATCCCAGCTTGGTTGATGGATCAGGTGCAACGAAGGGATGGTCTGGAAAAAAATATTGAGGCCAGAACAGCCTTTTGCAGCACCTACTGGTCCTCAAATTTCTTGAGAAATCCTTTCCTCTCTGAGCTGGGTCTTCAAAAGGCTGGTCTGTCTTGGATCCTCACGAACTGGGCTGCAGCAGCAGTGAGCCCAGAGCTTCCGTGACAGCAGTGCAGAGATGGTGATGTGTGCTCTCAGGAGGTCCCTATGCCTGGGATAGGAGATACACAGCACTGACAAAGAAGAAAGAACCAAGGTTATGGTTTTGTGTGGCCAAATGCTGCTGCCAAGATGGATGGACACAGGGAAGCCTCATGAAGAGAACCAAGACACATCCCTCTTACTTTCGTTCTTACCTGTGTATTTTATTCCCAGCTGGAACAAGCCCCTGGACAAATTATAATAAGCAGGGAGCCAACATTTTGACAGCTCGGGTGCAACAAGGGACTTCATGGTTGATCATCATATTTGGCTGTTAGTTAGGGCAACAAATGCTTGATATTACAAGCAGGTGAAGATTTTGGGTGGATTCTGCTTTATCACTTTCCCAAACAAAACTGCACAGATGTGTGGGAGATTCAGATAGTCAGTGTGTAAGGAACAGAATTAAACCATGTAAAGAGATTTTTGCTTTTTTTATCTAAATCCTTGCACACACTGGCTAGTCCTTCCTCTGTGTGCATTGTTAATTATTAAATAGAATTGATATTTATATGAAGCAGTTCTGTGAAGCCCACTTACCTAATCCTGAAGGTAAGAGTGCTACTCTTGCCATGTCAGCACCTTTTATGGCTTGAGATGTTGGCTCAGCTTTGCACAGAGGCATGAAAGCTCACACCCCTCACATCCCTCTCATCTCTTTATCCCATGGGAGATAAAGTACCTAGATCTTGTTCACAGAGATATTTCAATCTTTAATGCACTGCTTCAATCTATTGTCTGAAAATATATCTTATAATCATGTGCTCCTCCAGTCAATTTAGACTACATTACCTTTTCAGTAGTTTATACTATTGAGTGGTGGCTCAACGGCCCATTTTTTTCCCCTCTGCTGCTCCATTCCACACGTTGTAAGTACATTATACAGTGACTTTCAGAAGCCGTGCGTGGCTGCTATTGCTTGATAGCTGTAGCTGAACATCTGGTTTATTCATAGGGGAACTATTACCATACTCAAGAACAGGTAGACTCATGCTAGAAATTTGAGCCTGAGGCAAGCCCGTTTGCAATCCATGTTGCTATTCCCTGAAATCCTTTATTGTAATACCCAGGACAGGAAACACAGAGACCTTAAAAATGTAGTAAATTAAAAATATATAGTCTCTTTCTCTAGCTCATAGCTAAGAACACCGTGTTCAGTAGATATATTTTAACAAAGATCTTCTGTGAATCAGGAAAAAATAAAGATTCTTTTGGAGAACAAGAACACCTGCATTTATATTGGATAGCATAAAAATGTCTACAGATTATAAATTATCTTGCTTCTAACCACTAGCTTTGTGAGCTTCACAAGAGGCATTGCCAAGGACAGGTTATTCCAGACTCATTTATTGCGCCTGCTCATGGAAACAGGAATAAGGATAGATGGGATCTATGGAGTTACTGCAGTACAAAAATCCTTATGTGTTTGATTGGCTGTAGATTTTAATTTTTTAATTTTTTTGTGTGTGTAAACTAACCCTTTTCAGGTATAATTGAGTCTGTGCTGTCATTGTTCATCTTCAGGTTTTGAAATGTCACCACTTGGGAAGGAGTCTTTGGAAGCCTTGAGGACCTTAGCCTTTTCAGAAAACCCAGGTTTACAGCAGTCTGCTGCCCTCTATTACTTGCACATGAGTCAGCACAGTAAGTTATCTCAGTGCATTAGAAAATTTTCACATAATTATAAATGAAAGCATTTTTTTTTGAACTGTGAGACTCCCTTTGATTCATTAATCAAAGTTCTTTTTTTTTTTTTCTTTCATGCTGTGTTGTTAGCTAAGGAAAATGGAAATGCTCTCATTGCCGTGTAGGAAGAGTTATTCTGGGTTTTGCTGTGAGGACATTTCTCTCATGAGACTGTCATTTATGTAGTTGTAATAGTTCTGGAAAACTCAGCAGAACTCAAAGTAGTTAGAGTCAATGCATGCTGAATTTCCTGAGAGCAATGCAATCAAAACTATGGTGGAAGAAAATGAACATAGTGATCATATAAGGTTTATATTCCATAATTTTTGTAAGAGGACAAAGCCCTAGAGGCCAGATTGTTGAAATTTATGAAGGAAATGTTCTTTGTCCCAACTATTCTGTGGGAGCACTTGGCTCCTCAGGTAATTTGTAAACAGTTAGTAGTCAGCCTAGATATGCCAAATAAGATTCCAGCAAGAGATTAGGTCGTACAAAAAGGTAGAAATACCAGCCACAAGCAGGCTGTGATTTCTTTCTTTCTTTGCTTTAAATTTACTTCAAGAATATTCTGGCACTTGGCTTGATAGCTTTATCCCATGTGGTTTTCTGCTGGATAAAAAGTGCAGATAGCCATAACATGAGGACGTGCTGTGAGGTGGAATGACTTGTTTAGTCATTAGTATTGCTTCCCTTCCCGTGATGTTTTTGAAGTACTTGATTATTCAAAACCTTTTCAGGAAACTTGCCCTGTTTTGCTGGTAGCAATGGAATTTAAATGAAGGGGAACACCACTCCACCTATGTATGGTAACACCTGAGGCTTAAGAACAACAAGAGAAAAATGTGACTGTGGTGAACGATGAGACTCCTGAATATTTCCTCTCATTCCTGCAGTGAGTGTCCCCCTGCCTGTGGAGCATCTGGAGCCCTTCTATGCCTTATTACGCTCTGCTGACCTGGAGGTGCAGCAGATGTCTTCCTTGTCCCTTGTCAACTTCTTGCTGGAAGGAAATAGTGAGTAATCAACAACACATCTCTATTCAAGTGAAAAAAATATCTCTTCAGCCAGACTCAGATAGAATCATAGAATCATTGAGGTTGGAACAGACCCTTGGGATCATCGAGTCCAACCATCTACCCTACTCTACAAAGTCCTCCCCTACACCATGTCCCTTAGCACTGCATCTAAATGGCCCTTAAACACATCCAGGGATGGTGACTCCACCCCCTCCCTGGGCAGCCTGTTCCAATGCCCTATCACTCTTTCGGTGAAAAATTCTTTCCTAATGTTCAATCTAAACCTACCCTGTTGGAGCTTGAAGCCATTCCCTCTCATTCTGTCACTAATTACCTGTGAGAAGAGACCAGCACCAACCTCTCTACAGTGTCCTTTCACGAAGTTGTAGAGAGTGATGAGGTCTCCCCTCAGCCTCCTCTTCCTCATACTAAACAGCCCCAACTCCCTCAGCCGCTCCTCATACGATTTGTTTTCCAGCCCCCTCACCAGCTTCGTTGCCCTCCTCTGCACTCGCTCCAGCACCTCCAGATCTCTCTTGTATTGAGGTGCCCAAAACTGGACACAGTACTCGAGGTGTGGCCTCACCAGTGCTGAGTACAGGGGCACAATCACCTCCCTACTTCTGCTGGTCACACTATTTTTGATACAAGCCAGGATGCCATTGGCTTTCTTGGCCACCTGGGCACACTGTCAGCTCAAATTCAGCCATTTGTCAACTAGAACCCCCAGGTCTCTTTCTTCCAGGCAGCTCCAGCCACACTTCCCCGAGCCTATAGCGCTGCATGGGGTTGTTGTGGCAATCTACACACCCAGGTCTACACAAATCCAAATTCCATCTTTTGTGTTCCTGACAGGACAGGTATGAGTCTGTTTCTGTCTGCAAGTCACACAGATTCTGTTGGCACCAGGATACGTCAGATCCCTCCAGCTAGATTATATCATGTGGCAGGAGATTACTACTTACCCTTTCAAGCAAGAGACACAGCTCTTAGAAATAAACTCTGCCTGTGAGAGAGTGCTCATTGTCTTGTTATTTATTAACTGGACCTTGGTCTTAAATTGCCTGCAGATTTAAAGAAAAAAACAACAAAACAAACATTTAATAGAATTCACTTTCTTCTGTGGCTAATAGGGCAAATGTAATTGAGATAGGAACTGGATGCTGCACATGAAAAACCTCCCAAAAATGTTTATGTTGATAGAGAGGGCATGAACACCCCACTCCTCATTAATGGAGTCCTCGTTACACCTACTACTCTGCTCCCTGGGCCACAACAGGTTTTCCATCATGCTATCCCATAACAACAGAATATGGGGTCAGTCTTCAATGAATCTTGCTTTTTAACTTTATAATATCATGTCACTATTTATAAGTAAAAATTAATATTTAAAGGGTAGACTTCAGCAGAAAAAGAAGGGGAGAGCTGATTACATCGTGAACCTATTGGAAAGCTGCAGTTGCACTTTCCAAAATGAACCTTATGTTTTAAAGTGGAATTGCTAGCAGAAATATTTGGGACATTCTGAACTAGAACCTCTGAACATCTCTTAACACTCTTTCATGCATCTGAAGAGGAATCAAGCAAACAAAGCTCAGGACTGTGAGTGCTTTTCATACTGTTTCTATCTTAGGTCTATTTTGCATAATCATCATACAGATGCCCAAAGCAGTCACAGGAAGATATATTTTTCACAAAGGCATTAACTGTTTATTTTCTGATTGTCCATTTCTTCTTCAATTTATGAATAGTTGACAAAGAATTAGTTGTCCAAATGGGTTTACTTGAACCAATTCTGGATCTCCTTGAGTCAGAGGATCCCACTGTCCAGTGTAATTCCTGTGCCTGCACCATGACTTTGGCTGTTTCAGGTGAGTGTGCTGTTTGTTCTTTCCCCTTATCCTCTGCAGTGAATTCATCCAACTCTTGTGTCATATTTCAAGGTGAAACAACTTATTTGTGATTGGTTTAAGAGTCGTAAGATGCTGGGGCAAATTTTGGTATTCCCATGTCATAAATTCAACTCCTCGAGATCCCAGTTAAGATCTTTTTCTCAGTGTTTCTGACCTTCATTCTCTTCTGATGATAAACTTTTTTCTGATTTCCAACCTAAATCTATTCATGACCAGATTCTCTTAATTAGTGTCTACATGGGCTTTTACTTCAGTAGTTCTCCCTCTCTGATGTCTATGCTGATGACCCTCCTTCCTTTTAGTAGACTGAAAAAGCCAAGCTCCTTTAAGACTCCTCTTATCTCCCCATTCATCCTCCAGTCCACCACTGCATGGACAGCACTGCACTCACACCTTTGTATTAACTTTCTGGTTCAAAATCAGTAACAGACCAGTCCCTGTGGAATTCCACTTCCAGGTGGTCATTCCCATGCAGCAAAACCTGCTGCCAGCTTGCTTATAGTCAGTTCCTTATCCCCCATGCACTGCTTGCATTTATCACCATCTTCTCTTGCTTAACTATGCATAGTTCATATCATGATACAGATATTTTCCTGGCATCCAGAGAGAGAAACTCAACCACAGTTATGAAAAGAAAGGTTATCAAGCTTATTCTACCTTTCACAAATTGCATGATTCTACCACACAAATGGTGTAAAGCCCTGTATAAAAGCCATGAATAATATGTATTTCCCTTCCTCAAGTGTTTATTCCACCAGCTTCCCTCTCCAGTGTGGGAAGTTGGAATCAGATCTCCCAGAGGGCTGGGAGAAGCATGGTGGAAGTGTTACTTCCTCACTGAAGTATTTATGTTGCAAAGCGGGGAGTGGATAAGTAGGATCCCACAACGTGAAAGTTCTGATTTGCATTTTATCCTATCTTTAATTTATTTTAAAATGTTTTTCCTTTTGAAACCTTTTTTAAGTGTTGCGTGCTGTTCTGATCAGGTTAAAAACTCTGTATATGACATTATTTTGTACGGGCTGCAAATTGCCTCATTTAAATATCTAAATTAGGCATGGTATCACTAAAATTCTAGGTGCTTGGCACTAGGAGGGCTTTCTTTACGTATGGTCAGTGGAGCTATGCACCTGAAGATCTACAGAGGGGTATCCCTTCAGCTGTTTTAAGCAGCCCACAGAAGAAGTGACTTCTTTGGGTGCCTAAGGATGTTCCTTAGTCTGAAAGGCATCCTGGCCCTCCGGGATGTCTCTGTAACCCAGAGGATGGGAAACCCTGAGCCACTCCAGATCCAGCCCACCTTCTTTCTCTGTTGAGGGTGGTCACCTAATGCAGCGTTAATAGTGTACCTGTGAGCACAAGGTGTTCAAATTAAACACTCAAGGACCTTTCAAACTAGATAGGAAGGCATCTGCTGAACATAGAGGTAGGTGGTCCTGCAGGTGCGTAGGCTGCATTGCTGTCTGGGATTTAGATCAGTTTTGAGGAGCTTTGTCCCAGTTTAACTAGCATTTAGACTGGCTGGATCCATTTATTTCTTTTTCAGACTATGTTTAGCTACCACAGCAATGAGACTAAAGCAAGAGGCAATTCTCTAGAGTTTATTTTAATTTTAACTTGCAGACTTTGGTATCTTAAAAGGCCTACTTGGGAAAAGTATTCTGTTTAACCACGTCCTTCAAGTAAGCCATTCATGCTTCAGAGTGCTTTAAAAAAGATAAACATGGAAGGACAATCAAATTAGGAAGATCCTTTAGATAGCTTTAAGGTGACTAAAATTCCAAATCCAAGAATGGAAATGTGTCTTAACTCTGCTGCAATAAATGTCTAAGGCCAGGTATAGAGTGAAGCTGTTTAGCAATGGGACTGCAAGGTGTGGGTTGGCTGGTACAGTCAGAGTTGTACCAACAGGAGAATTTTCAAACACAAAATGGCAGAGAGCAGAAAGAAAGAATTTATCAATGCAGGTTTCACAAGGTGAGTTATTCAAACCCAGCTTGAGTAGATGTCATTGGTTTCCCCACTTTAGAGTATCATCTGAATACGTGGTTCCCTTCTGAAAGCACTCTCAGGGGTTGCAGGGGCATCAGTGGAGGGATTGTGTGACTTAGATGGTCCAGCAGAGAATCATTATCTAACCTGCCACGTCTTGTATGGAGGTGATAGTACAGTTACACAGCTTGGGGAGATAGATATCTCCATCCATCCTGATTAAGCTGATGAAACAGATAGCGTTCAGCCACATTATCTGACCAAAACTAGAATAAGAATGGAGGGAAGGATAAGGGAAAATGACGTATGTAAAAATAAATCCAGCAAACCCACAATGATGGGACCTAACAAAGACTGCAGAGGAGAACTTGTCAGCTGTGAATGATCCAAGGGAAAATAAGAAAAAATATAAAGTATTTTGGTCACAGAGGTTTCCATCGTGTGGGTACCTGTTGCAGTCTCTCTGGTCTCCCACGATGAAAGCAGGTGCTCCAGTCCTTCCCCTGCAGGAGTGGGGTGCTGGTGCCTGGGTCTCCGTGTGCCACCTCCCTCCAAAGCCATCTGTAAAGAGCTCGTCCTGCTGCTGGAGGCTTCCAGTGTTGACCATCACCTCTGAGCCCTTAGGCAGGAAAATTGAGCTGTCATGGATGTGAAGCCTTTCCAAATCAAGCCAGTTTTGGTTCTCTAAGGAAGAAAAACCTTCAAAGCACCCAATGGCTCATATCCTGTGATATTTTGCCCAAGTTCTATCTGAATGTTTGTAATCCCTTTGCCCAAATGTGAGGTTCTCTTCCATATTCACAAGCGTTCACAGAGTGTATTGTGTGAAAGAACGAAGGAAGAAGCAATATCTGAATTCTCAATCTTTTTACCTCTCTCCTTTACTCAACTAATTGGAGTTTCCATCACACCAGACTGGTTTCCATCAGTTGGAGCTGCACAAAAGAATTTCTGCTTCCGCTGAGGGAAACAAAAGAACAATATGCCAGCAGATTAGATTGGGGAAAGGCTTGTCTACAGAACTGGCCAGAAAATTTCACCAGAATAATAATAGCTTAACACGTGGAAAAGCTATTTTTAAATACATGACTCTTCCCAGAACAATTGTTTTGCTCAAAAATTAGAGTATTTTTTTCCAGAATGAAGGGTATTTCCTCGAGTATGAAATATTCATAGGAAGGCAGAAAGGGACTTGTCCTGGAATATTAAACTGACACTGGCTGAATTTAAATAGGTATCCTGGGTTATCTAAGTATGTCAGTTCCCCAATAAAGAGAGGATCCAGGTATAGAAATAATGTCATTGTTCTCTTACCTCTGTGAATTAGTTGGCACCTGAAGAGTTGATCTTATCCAAATACCTTCACTTTCTTGCTTCCTTTTGCTTCATGTTTCTCTCAGGAAACTCCCAGAGACTGGCCAGTCTTTAAACTGTCTAAAAATGTCAATGAAGCAGCACTCAACCAAAACTCCTGTGGGCTTCAGTTGCAGTTTGGCTCATGTAAACAATGAAAGCTGTAGAGTGTGGATTTTGCTTTTTCCTTTCATAAAATAATTTGCAGAATACTATGATATGAAGAGAATTCTTCATGGGTCTCATTCCCATTTAAATCTCATCAGCTTTGTAGAATGCCACTGCCAAAACCTTACCTTTTTTTTTTCAAAATTATGCCACTTATAAGATACAAATACAAATAATGTGTAGATATAAATTTATAAGCCAGTAAAGGGGAGAGGACCATAGCTAGCTGAGTGTGGCAACAGGTTATTTGTTGGAAGTGTTTTGGTGGCCTCCTGGTAGCAGCGTAGGGAAGAGCATAATGGAAGAATTCTCTTCTATATCTTCTTACCTTCAGTAAGTCCAAAACAAAAGGAGTAGAACTAAAAGCAGATTTTAGTTTTCCCTAAATTGTATTATATTTTATAGCACGGTATAACTTTATCATATGTAGTATATATATATACACACTGTAGATAAATATGTTATATAGTATATAGATAATTTTATAGCATTATTTAAGTGTTTTAGTTATTTTCCTCCCAGTTTTTGATCTAGGAGCCTCAAGGGACCCTGCAGATCTTTTCTGAATTCTCCTTGTACTCTGGGATGTTGAATACAACTGTACAACTTAATGCACTGCCGTGCAAGGACAGAGGAGAAGCATCTTTTCAAATTTCAGTGGTTTAAGTCAAATTCTGTCTTTAGAAACCTCTTCATTGTTTGTAGCTGTCAAAAGAGTGACAGAGATACGTTCAAAGAGAGAAACTGGCCCTGACTATATCCTGCTAAATTAATACAGTCTTACCTGCAGTTAATTACATAGGTTTTGGATGGCACACTGTGAATAGTTTGATCAGACATACTGGGGGTACAAGGCAAGTGTGACACCTTGCTAACCTGTTTAAGGGGAATTATGATCTTTTCATTTTAATCATCCCAGTCACAAAGCAAAAGCATTCAACCAGCTGTGATCATGAGTTAGTTTCTTTCCCATTGAGCTCATGGAATTTTTAACAGGTTCCTTTGAGCACGCAGAGAAATTTTGTTATATACCAAAGGATCTGAGAAGCCAATGGCAAACATTCAGCAGAAAAAGAAGGGGAGAGCTGATTACATCGTGAACCTATTGGAAAGCTGCAGTTGCACTTTCCAAAATGAACCTTATGTTTTAAAGTGGAATTGCTAGCAGAAATATTTGGGACATTCTGAACTAGAACCTCTGAACATCCCTTACACTCTTTCATGCATCTGAAGAGGAATTAAGCAAACAAAGCTCGGGACTGTGAGTGCTTTTCACGCTGTTTCTATCTTAGGTCTATTTTGCATAATCATCATACAGATGCCCAAAGCAGTCACAGGAAGATACATTTTTCACAAAGCCATTAACTGTTTACTTTCTGATTGTCCATTTCTTCTTCAATTTATGAATAGTTGACAAAGAATTAGTTGTCCAAATGGGTTTACTTGAACCAATTCTGGATCTCCTTGAGTCAGAGGATCCCACTGTCCAGTGTAATTCCTGTGCCTGCACCATGACTTTGGCTGTTTCAGGTGAGTGTGCTGTTTGTTCTTTCCCTTTATCCTCTGCAGTGAATTCATCCAACTCTTGTGTCATATTTCAAGGTGAAACAACTTATTTGTGATTGGTTTAAGAGTCGTAAGATGCTGGGGCAAATTTTGGTATTCCCATGTCATAAATTCAACTCCTCGAGATCCCAGTTAAGATCTTTTTCTCAGTGTTTCTGACCTTCATTCTCTTCTGATGATAAACTTTTTTCTGATTTCCAACCTAAATCTATTCATGACCAGATTCTCTTAATTAGTGTCTACATGGGCTTTTACTTCAGTAGTTCTCCCTCTCTGATGTCTATGCTGATGACCCTCCTTCCTTTTAGTAGACTGAAAAAGCCAAGCTCCTTTAAGACTCCTCTTATCTCCCCATTCATCCTCCAGTCCACCACTGCATGGACAGCACTGCACTCACACCTTTGTATTAACTTTCTGGTTCAAAATCAGTAACAGACCAGTCCCTGTGGAATTCCACTTCCAGGTGGTCATTCCCATGCAGCAAAACCTGCTGCCAGCTTGCTTATAGTCAGTTCCTTATCCCCCATGCACTGCTTGCATTTATCACCATCTTCTCTTGCTTAACTATGCATAGTTCATATCATGATACAGATATTTTCCTGGCATCCAGAGAGAGAAACTCAACCACAGTTATGAAAAGAAAGGTTATCAAGCTTATTCTACCTTTCACAAATTGCATGATTCTACCACACAAATGGTGTAAAGCCCTGTATAAAAGCCATGAATAATATGTATTTCCCTTCCTCAAGTGTTTATTCCACCAGCTTCCCTCTCCAGTGTGGGAAGTTGGAATCAGATCTCCCAGAGGGCTGGGAGAAGCATGGTGGAAGTGTTACTTCCTCACTGAAGTATTTATGTTGCAAAGCGGGGAGTGGATAAGTAGGATCCCACAACGTGAAAGTTCTGATTTGCATTTTATCCTATCTTTAATTTATTTTAAAATGTTTTTCCTTTTGAAACCTTTTTTAAGTGTTGCGTGCTGTTCTGATCAGGTTAAAAACTCTGTATATGACATTATTTTGTACGGGCTGCAAATTGCCTCATTTAAATATCTAAATTAGGCATGGTATCACTAAAATTCTAGGTGCTTGGCACTAGGAGGGCTTTCTTTACGTATGGTCAGTGGAGCTATGCACCTGAAGATCTACAGAGGGGTATCCCTTCAGCTGTTTTAAGCAGCCCACAGAAGAAGTGACTTCTTTGGGTGCCTAAGGATGTTCCTTAGTCTGAAAGGCATCCTGGCCCTCCGGGATGTCTCTGTAACCCAGAGGATGGGAAACCCTGAGCCACTCCAGATCCAGCCCACCTTCTTTCTCTGTTGAGGGTGGTCACCTAATGCAGCGTTAATAGTGTACCTGTGAGCACAAGGTGTTCAAATTAAACACTCAAGGACCTTTCAAACTAGATAGGAAGGCATCTGCTGAACATAGAGGTAGGTGGTCCTGCAGGTGCGTAGGCTGCATTGCTGTCTGGGATTTAGATCAGTTTTGAGGAGCTTTGTCCCAGTTTAACTAGCATTTAGACTGGCTGGATCCATTTATTTCTTTTTCAGACTATGTTTAGCTACCACAGCAATGAGACTAAAGCAAGAGGCAATTCTCTAGAGTTTATTTTAATTTTAACTTGCAGACTTTGGTATCTTAAAAGGCCTACTTGGGAAAAGTATTCTGTTTAACCACGTCCTTCAAGTAAGCCATTCATGCTTCAGAGTGCTTTAAAAAAGATAAACATGGAAGGACAATCAAATTAGGAAGATCCTTTAGATAGCTTTAAGGTGACTAAAATTCCAAATCCAAGAATGGAAATGTGTCTTAACTCTGCTGCAATAAATGTCTAAGGCCAGGTATAGAGTGAAGCTGTTTAGCAATGGGACTGCAAGGTGTGGGTTGGCTGGTACAGTCAGAGTTGTACCAACAGGAGAATTTTCAAACACAAAATGGCAGAGAGCAGAAAGAAAGAATTTATCAATGCAGGTTTCACAAGGTGAGTTATTCAAACCCAGCTTGAGTAGATGTCATTGGTTTCCCCACTTTAGAGTATCATCTGAATACGTGGTTCCCTTCTGAAAGCACTCTCAGGGGTTGCAGGGGCATCAGTGGAGGGATTGTGTGACTTAGATGGTCCAGCAGAGAATCATTATCTAACCTGCCACGTCTTGTATGGAGGTGATAGTACAGTTACACAGCTTGGGGAGATAGATATCTCCATCCATCCTGATTAAGCTGATGAAACAGATAGCGTTCAGCCACATTATCTGACCAAAACTAGAATAAGAATGGAGGGAAGGATAAGGGAAAATGACGTATGTAAAAATAAATCCAGCAAACCCACAATGATGGGACCTAACAAAGACTGCAGAGGAGAACTTGTCAGCTGTGAATGATCCAAGGGAAAATAAGAAAAAATATAAAGTATTTTGGTCACAGAGGTTTCCATCGTGTGGGTACCTGTTGCAGTCTCTCTGGTCTCCCACGATGAAAGCAGGTGCTCCAGTCCTTCCCCTGCAGGAGTGGGGTGCTGGTGCCTGGGTCTCCGTGTGCCACCTCCCTCCAAAGCCATCTGTAAAGAGCTCGTCCTGCTGCTGGAGGCTTCCAGTGTTGACCATCACCTCTGAGCCCTTAGGCAGGAAAATTGAGCTGTCATGGATGTGAAGCCTTTCCAAATCAAGCCAGTTTTGGTTCTCTAAGGAAGAAAAACCTTCAAAGCACCCAATGGCTCATATCCTGTGATATTTTGCCCAAGTTCTATCTGAATGTTTGTAATCCCTTTGCCCAAATGTGAGGTTCTCTTCCATATTCACAAGCGTTCACAGAGTGTATTGTGTGAAAGAACGAAGGAAGAAGCAATATCTGAATTCTCAATCTTTTTACCTCTCTCCTTTACTCAACTAATTGGAGTTTCCATCACACCAGACTGGTTTCCATCAGTTGGAGCTGCACAAAAGAATTTCTGCTTCCGCTGAGGGAAACAAAAGAACAATATGCCAGCAGATTAGATTGGGGAAAGGCTTGTCTACAGAACTGGCCAGAAAATTTCACCAGAATAATAATAGCTTAACACGTGGAAAAGCTATTTTTAAATACATGACTCTTCCCAGAACAATTGTTTTGCTCAAAAATTAGAGTATTTTTTTCCAGAATGAAGGGTATTTCCTCGAGTATGAAATATTCATAGGAAGGCAGAAAGGGACTTGTCCTGGAATATTAAACTGACACTGGCTGAATTTAAATAGGTATCCTGGGTTATCTAAGTATGTCAGTTCCCCAATAAAGAGAGGATCCAGGTATAGAAATAATGTCATTGTTCTCTTACCTCTGTGAATTAGTTGGCACCTGAAGAGTTGATCTTATCCAAATACCTTCACTTTCTTGCTTCCTTTTGCTTCATGTTTCTCTCAGGAAACTCCCAGAGACTGGCCAGTCTTTAAACTGTCTAAAAATGTCAATGAAGCAGCACTCAACCAAAACTCCTGTGGGCTTCAGTTGCAGTTTGGCTCATGTAAACAATGAAAGCTGTAGAGTGTGGATTTTGCTTTTTCCTTTCATAAAATAATTTGCAGAATACTATGATATGAAGAGAATTCTTCATGGGTCTCATTCCCATTTAAATCTCATCAGCTTTGTAGAATGCCACTGCCAAAACCTTACCTTTTTTTTTTCAAAATTATGCCACTTATAAGATACAAATACAAATAATGTGTAGATATAAATTTATAAGCCAGTAAAGGGGAGAGGACCATAGCTAGCTGAGTGTGGCAACAGGTTATTTGTTGGAAGTGTTTTGGTGGCCTCCTGGTAGCAGCGTAGGGAAGAGCATAATGGAAGAATTCTCTTCTATATCTTCTTACCTTCAGTAAGTCCAAAACAAAAGGAGTAGAACTAAAAGCAGATTTTAGTTTTCCCTAAATTGTATTATATTTTATAGCACGGTATAACTTTATCATATGTAGTATATATATATACACACTGTAGATAAATATGTTATATAGTATATAGATAATTTTATAGCATTATTTAAGTGTTTTAGTTATTTTCCTCCCAGTTTTTGATCTAGGAGCCTCAAGGGACCCTGCAGATCTTTTCTGAATTCTCCTTGTACTCTGGGATGTTGAATACAACTGTACAACTTAATGCACTGCCGTGCAAGGACAGAGGAGAAGCATCTTTTCAAATTTCAGTGGTTTAAGTCAAATTCTGTCTTTAGAAACCTCTTCATTGTTTGTAGCTGTCAAAAGAGTGACAGAGATACGTTCAAAGAGAGAAACTGGCCCTGACTATATCCTGCTAAATTAATACAGTCTTACCTGCAGTTAATTACATAGGTTTTGGATGGCACACTGTGAATAGTTTGATCAGACATACTGGGGGTACAAGGCAAGTGTGACACCTTGCTAACCTGTTTAAGGGGAATTATGATCTTTTCATTTTAATCATCCCAGTCACAAAGCAAAAGCATTCAACCAGCTGTGATCATGAGTTAGTTTCTTTCCCATTGAGCTCATGGAATTTTTAACAGGTTCCTTTGAGCACGCAGAGAAATTTTGTTATATACCAAAGGATCTGAGAAGCCAATGGCAAACAAATCTGGTCCTGCTGGTTCTCCTGCTCCTGGCTCACAGTAAGATGGCAATATCTTCTTTCTTTCTTTCTCTGATTCTTTTCTCCAGAGTCCAACCGAGAGGCTATTGGTGCTGCTCAAGGAGTCACACCCCTGCTGGCCCTTGCCAAATCCTATGATCCCAGAGTCCAACAAAACGCAGTTGGTGCTATTCTCAACCTCACCCAGTCAGGTACTTTTGGACTAATAGCTTATCTAAGATTGCTGAAAGAAACATTCTCACTGATAGAAAAATAACTCAAAAGGGTTAAGGCAAGAATAAAAGTGCATCTGAACAACAAATTATTTCCTTTGCATATGGCAATCATGTTGATACCAGGAGCTGATGATTTAAGTTTAGCTTCTCTTTAGCTAATCCAGACCCCATTTTGCCTAGTACTGAAATAGGAAGGCTTGATTTTCAACCCCGAATCATCAAAGAAACAGAAAAAGAATAATAATTTGTTAAAGAAATAACTTAATCTAAAAAGTTAGGAGCACATTTAGCACTTTGAAGCAATCTCAGAAACTTATCCGACAAGGTCAAGCTCTGGGAATGTGTGATTTGTATCCCTAACTTGGTGTTGGAAGATGCAGAATGTAACTATTATGGCCTAGACATTAAAGGCTCCTGGGATATCTGCCAACAGCTTTAGCAAAAGTGGTATTTGGTCCTCTGCAGTAATATGTGCACTACCATACATTAACTCTGAAACAAACCAGCATTAGATCTCACTTAAATAGATGATATCATTATCCCACACAGCTCAATGACACAGTCCTGAGCAATGTCTCTTACCTCTATATGGTGGAAGGGAATGGTTGGCAAGGACTTCTGCAGTTGGCTGTTATGCTTCCATTATTATTCAGAATTTTTAAAATAATTTGGGAATTTTTTTTAACACAGAAATCATGGGGAATATTGTACCTGAAGGTTTTTCAGCTTCTCCAGCAATTCACATTCCCAGAACAGTCTTTAGCATGAAACCAGCAAAGGCTTAATCAATCAAACAGCCATTTTGCTAAAGTGTCTGCTTATTGCTATATTGCACAAACTCTCAATTATATCCTCTCCTGTCACACTGATTGGCACATATTTAGGACAACTTCACCACTCTCTAGAATCCAATGATTGTGCATATCCCTTTGGAATGGTGCCTCCAGATGAGATGAGATGTGTCTTTGAAGGGAAAAGACACACTAACAGCACTTTAATATTTTTTTTTTAAATGCAGAGAAAATCCAACAGGTCCTATGCAAGGAAGGAGCCCTGCCAGTTCTTGCTTTGCTGCTGGAATCTCCTGACTCAGAAGTGCAGGTACGGCTCAAAACAGGTCAGATCTTTAAACAGCAACAGCCTGACTGTAAGGAGAGTCCAAACCACAGCCTGTGGAGATGAAAAGGTGGAGATGAGGTTTCTCTAGAGGGGAAACACATGACAGCAGCTTGGTGAAACTCAGCTTAGTCAGATAATGTATATTCAAACCACTCAATTTGTTTAGCTCCACAGGAGAAAGTTTATAATGCAGGAGGGCATCTGCCAGCACACACTAACACAGCACACAGTTGTCATGTGGTTACCTTCCTGTGTCTTTCAGATCATCAGACAAGTTGCAGACTAAGCCTCTTCCTCTGTTTTTTTTTTTTTGCACTTTAACTTTGATCTTCTGCTCTAAGCAATTTTACTTAGTGTTCTGAGAAGACATAATTTGCAAAGATATTTTCTTCTTATTGTAAGTGTCTGGGAAATCTCCTTATTTAATGCCTCCCACAGACACCTCTGCGATTTTGCATACTTAATAGAGAGCTGGTCTTGGTTCAAAAGTACGCTAATTAAAAACTAGGAATCAGAGTTGTAAACCTGAAAATCCGCTAGTTCATTCATTTGGTCCTCTGAGTAGCACAGAATTGTTTCCTCCATCAATTTTGTTATCTGTATTCAGTCTCTTTTAAATGTCTGAACTGATGGAACCTCTGGAATTGCTTTCTGCAAACTTTCAGCACCATCAGCTTTCTCTGAGATTCATCTTAAAATTTCCTTCTCTGCAGTACAACCTGTTTCTTCTAATTATACCTCTCTAGTAATACATGCTCTTATATATATAATCCTCCCTAGCATTAATGTTTAAATCCTTTGAAAATGATCTCCTGGCGTGCTAGGCCAATGACTACATCCAGCTTGAGTAAATCAATGCAAACATATAATAGAGTAGATGCAGATGAGCAAAGTCAGGTGCCAGCAGCGCGGTGGTACCTTCCTGAATACCTGGGGTCCTGAGGGGTTTGTACAACATCCAGTGCCACAGCATGACTGCTGTTACAGTGACAGCAAATTGCATCACTTCTTATGTCAAGAAGTGGCTAGAACGTGAAGAGTTGTTGCTAAAGAGTAGCAATGACCAGGTTGAAAGTTTATGGGTAGGAATTAGGGATTGGGACAACAAAGGGAGCCTTGTGGTAGGAGTCTACTACAGGCCGCCTGACCAGGCAGAGCCTGTCAATGATGCCTTCTTACTCCAGCTTGAGGAGGCATCACGATCACAGGCTCTCATCCTGCTGGGGGATTTTAACCACCCCGACATCTGCTGGAAAACCAACACAGCTGGCTGCAGACAATCCAGGAAGCTCCTAGAGTGCCTAGATGACAACTTCCTGCGACAAGAAATTAACAGCCCTACTCGAAGAAATGCATTGTTGGACCTGTTGGTCACAAATGCAAGTGGGATGCATCAGGGATCTCAAAATTGAAGGTAGCCTGGGCTGCAGTGATCATGCCCTAGTGCAGTTCACTGTCCTAAGGAGTTTGAAGCTCACCAGAAGCACAGTTAGGACTCTAAACTTCAAGAAAGCAAACTTCCAGCTTTTCAAGGAGTTAGTAAATAGG